AGAGAGAGAGAGAGAGGAGAGAGAGAGTTTTTAATATTTATTTATTTTTTTAGTTTTCTTGGCAGACACAACCTCGTTGTTTGTATGTGGTGCTGAGGATTGAACCTGGGCCGCATGCATGCCAGGCCAGCGAGCATGCCAGGCTTGAGCCACATCCCCAGCCCACCGGCTGATTTCTTATCTGCCTCCTGGGGCAGGCCTCTAACCCCAGAGGACAGGAGCTCCTGCATGTCTGGTTCTCAGCTCAGTCCCACCCACAGGTCAATGCTGATCCACAAATATTGGCTTGGTTGAGTGCCCATTCCCACTGATCCTGACCCTGATGGGGATGGGAGGGATATCCACACCCCTCCCGCCTGAGCGGAGGACTTAAGGGTCTTTATCCTCACGGGTGGAGGCTGGTTCCCAAGGTTCCACAGCCAGTTGGCAGCTGAGCAGCATCTCCTGCTAAGCTCCCCCTCCCAGTAAGAAGCTTGGAGTCAGAGCCAGACCCCAGCTCTCCAACCAGGGCCTCGCTGAACATCTTCAGGGCCTGATAATGTTCCAGCCCATCTCACCTTGCCTGCTGCACAGAAAGTTCTGCACACAGAAATGCTATCACTCCAAGTAAAATGGGGAGCCAGCCAGCAGGGGGTACTGAAGGAGTCTCTGCCCTCCCTCGAGAACACAGAGAGCCACAAAAACAGGGTGGGGGGACCATGGGCCTTCTGAGGGGGATGCTCAGTCACCATGGTGTTCCCAGGAGACCCTCAATTATTCAGTTGTTCTGCATCCCACAGGGTTATAACTGGGCATGCTCCTGGAACAATTAAACAGTATTTCTGGGGACTGGGGTTGTGGCTCAGTGGTAGAATACTTGCATGAGACACTGGGTTCGATTCTCAGCACCACATATAAATAAATGAAAATAAAGGTGTATAGGGCTTTAAATTAAAGACATATTGAGGCTGGGGATGTGGCTCAAGCGGTAGCGCGCTCGCCTGGCATGCGTGCGGACCGGGTTCGATCCTCAGCACCACATACAAACAAAGATGTTGTGTCCGCCGAAAACTAAGAAATAAATATTAAAATTCTCTCTCTCTCCCCCTCTCTCACTGTCTCTTAAAAAAAAACAAAGCTTAACACTAATCCCACTTAATTAAAAAAAAATTAAAGACATATTTTTAAAAA